AGACCTGCTGAGCTTCCAGCAACTTCTGTTTTTGTTACTGATTTACAGCATCCGCAGTTCTTTCAGTTTTAACGTTCTGACGACCTGGATTCAAACCCCGCCACGGCAGATGGTGGAATTTGAATTCAATAAGAAAAGAAATCTGGAATTAAGAATCTACTGATGGCAATGAAATAATTGTCAATTGTTGGAAAATCCCATCTGGATCACTAATGTCCTTCAGGGAGGGAAATCTGCCATCCTCACCTGGTCTGGCCTACATGTGACTCCAGATAATAATGTGGTTGACTGTCGGTTGCCCTCTGAAATGACCTAGCAAGTCATTCAGTTGTACCAATCGCTACAAGTCTCAAAGAAATTAAACTGGACAGATCACCTGTGATCGACCTCATCACCAGAAAAGACAACAGCAGAAACAGCCCTGCAAAGTCTTCCTCACTAACATCTGGGGACTACTGCCAAAATTGGGAGAGCTGCCTCACAGACTAATCAAGTAACAGCCTGACATTGTCATACTCACAGAATCGTACCTTACAGACCATGTCCGAGACACACGATCACCATCCCTGGATATGTCCTGTCTCAATGGCAAGGACAGACCCAGCAGAGGTGGTGGCACAGTGGTATACAGTCGGGAGGGAGTTCCTCTGGGAATCCTCAATATTTACTATGGACTCCATGAAGTCTCATGGCTTCAGGTTAAACATGGACAAGGAAACCTCCTGCAGATTACTACATACCATCCTCCCTCAGCTGACAATTTGGTACTCCTCTATGTTGAACAACATTTAAAGGAAGCATTGAGGATGGCAAGGGCACAAAATGTACTCTGGGTGGGGGATTTCTATGTCCATCATCAAGAGTGGCTCAGCAGCAGTATGACAGATCGAGCTGGTCAGGTGCTAATGGATGCAGCTGCTAGACTGGGTCTGCGGCAGGTGGTGAGGGAACCAACAAGAGGGAAAAACACACTTGAACCTCATGCTCACCAATCTGCCAGCCGCAGATGCATCTGTCCATGATAGTATCAGTAAGAGAGACCACCGCACAGTCTATGTGGAGATCAGTCCTGCCTTCACATTGAGAATAACCTTCATTGTGTTGTATGGCACTATCACTGTGCTAAATGGGACAGACTTTGAACAGATCTGGCAACTCAAAACTGGGCATCCATGAGGCACTGTGGGCCATCAACAGCAGCAGAATTGTACTCCAGCACAATCTGTAACCTCATGGCCCGGCATATCCGCCGCTCAACCATTACCATCAAGCCAGGGGATCAACCCTGGTTCACTGGAGAGTGCAGGAGGGTGTGTCAGGAGCAGCACCTGGCATACCTGAAGATGAGGTATCAACCTGGTGAAGCCACCAGACAGGACTACTTGCATGCCAAACAGCAAAAGCAGCAAGTGATAGACAGAGCTAAGCGATCCCATAATCAATGGATCAGATCTAAGCTCTGCAGTTCTGCACATCCAGTTGTGAATGGTGGTGGACAATTAAACAACTCACTGAAAAAGGAGGCTCCACAAATATCCCCACCGTCAATGATGGAAAAGCCTGGCATATCAGTGCAAAAGATAAGGCTGAAGCTTTCTCAGCAATCTTCAGCCAGAAGTGCCAGCTGGATGATCCATCTTGACCTCCTCCAACAGTCCCCAGCATTACAGATACCAGTCTTCAGCCAATTCAATTCACTCCATGTGATATCAAGAAACAGTTGGAGACATTGGATACTGCAAGTGCTACGGGCCCTGACAACATGTCAGCAATAGTACTGAAGACTTGTGCTCCAGAACTTGCTGCTCCCCTAGCCAAGCTATTCCAGTACAGTTACAATGCTAGTATCTATCGGATAATGTGGAAAATTGATCAAGTATGTACTGTACATAAAAAGTAGGACAAATCCAATCTGGCAAATTATCACCCCATTAGTCTGCTATCGATCATCAGTAAAGCGATGGAAAGTGTCATCAACAGTGCTATCAAGCAGCATTTGCTCAGCAATAATCTGCTCAGTGATGCCTAGTTTGGATTCCGCCAGGGCCACTCAGCTCCTGACCTAATTTCAGCCTTGGTACAAACACGGACAAAAGAGCTGAATTCCAGAGGTGAGGTGAGAGTGATAGCCCTTTACATCAAGGCTGCATTCGACCGATTGTGGCATCAAGGAGCCCTAGCAAAACTGGAATCAATAAGTATTAGGGGGCAAATTCTCCAGTGGTTGGAGTCATACCTGACACATAGGAACATGGTCATTGTTATTGGAGGTCAGTCATCTCAGCTCCAGGACATCTCTGCAGGAGTTCCTCAGGGTAGTGTCTCAGGCTCACAAATCTTCAGCTGCTTCATCAATGACCTTCCCTCCATCCTAAAGTCAGATGTGGGGATGTTCATCGATGATTGCACAATGTTCAGCACCATTCAGGACTCCTCAGATACTAAAGCAGTCCATGTTCAAATGCAACAAGATCTGGATAACATCCAGGCTTGAGCTAACAAGTGGCAAATAATATTCACGCCACACAAATGCCAGACTATGACCATCACCAATAAGAGACAATCTAACCAGTGCCCCTGGGCATTCAACAGTGTTACCATCACTGAATCACCCACTATCAACATCCTGGGGTTATTGACCAGAAACTAAACAGGACTCACCACATAAACACAACGGCTATAAGAGCAGGTCTGAAGCTAGCTGCAATGAGTAACTCACCTCCTGACTCCTCAAAGCCTGTTCACCATCTACAAGGTACAAGTTAGGAATGTGATGGAATACTCCCCATTTGCCCCATGTGCAGGCCCAACAACACTCAAGAAGCTTTACAGCATCCAGGACAAAGCAGACCACTTGATTGGCACTACATCCACAAGCATCCACTCCCTCCACCACTGATAGTCAATTGCAGCAGTGTGTACAATCCACAAGATGCACTGCAGAAATTCACCAAAGATCCTCAGACAGCACCTTCGAAATCCAACACAACTTCCATCCAGAAGAACAAGGACAGCACGAATATGGGAACTCCACCACCTTCAAGTTCCCCTCCAAGCCACACACCACACTGACTTGGAAATATACTGCCATTCCTTCAATGTCGCTGGGTCAAAATCCCGGAATTCCCTCCCTAATGGCATTGTGGGTCAACCCACAGCAGGTGGACTGTGCAAGAAGGCAGCTCACCACCACCTTCACAAGAGCAACTAGGGACAGGCAACAAATGCTGGCCAGCCAACGACACCCACAACCTATAAATGAATAATGGAAAATAAATGTGACTCCAGATCTGTAGCAATGTGGTGGATTCTTAACTGCCCTTTGGGCAATAATGGATGGGCAATAAATGTCGGCCTAGCCAGTAAAGTTCTCATCCCATGAATGAATAATAAAAAAGTACACCAAACAAACAACAATTTGGTTAAATCTTAACTGTCCCTGAAATGGCCTGGCAAGCCACTCAGGAGTGTAAAACCTCTCTGATATAATATAATTCCTGGTTGGGCTGAAGCTTATTCAGCTACTTCATTGCATACCACCAGCAAAATGCAACCCCAGGTTCTAGTGCCTGCCAAAGCAGTAAACTCCCCTGACCCCAACCCTCCAACCTCCACCATCAGCCTCAGCAACAGAGCCCTTAGTGCCTCCGAAAATTCCCAGGAATGTTGATTCAATATGCCATCCAAAGATATTGGCTCCATCATCTTTCCCTCAGAATTTCACCAAGGTCAGTTCAGATTATGCATTTAAACCCTGGTGTAGGGCTGAAGTACACAACCTTCTGAGATGACTGCAATAATAACAGCCCCAACGACAAATCATCAGATAATGAAAAATGACCTAACCAAGGCAGCAATCAATTGGGAAATACAGTATAGTTCAAAATGTGGAGATAAATAGACTGATGATGTTGTATGTCCCAAGTGTAAAATAAATACAAGTCAACTGAAATACCTCAACAGCTACTCAACTGAGTCCAGATTGGGTTTAAAACTTGGATTTTTGCACCCCTTATGACTCTATCTCATACTATAAGGAACATTGCTAGACCAAGCCTTTAGGGGACTCTACTTGTTTACAAGGGAAATATTATCAATGCACCAGAGGTTTTGTTATATTACAGACCACAGTAAAGATCAAACTAATATCCAAAGTATGCACAAGTGTCAATCATTGATACACACCAATACAGATAGAGAAATATTCCATAGATCTCAAATGATAGCTGTTTAACATGGAAATATACTCACAAAAATGCATATATGTAAGTAGATTCACATACACTCTGCCCACCTGACGTGGAAGTTTGAAGACTGTTTGCTGCAGGTGATCTTAGTGACTCTGGAAGGTTCCACAACTGCTTCCTGGAATTTCATAGCAAAGTAGCAATGAGATTGAATTCACGCAAATTTTCTTTAGTTTGGATATTTCACATATGTACATTTGTGTTGGCCAGTGTCTTCAGGACATATATTGCTATTTGCTTTGTGATGTTAGCTCTCCACCTTGTTGGACACTTTTATGTGCACATGTGCACAAATGTTGCACATTTTATATGAAATAGAAAGCTTCTCAACAATGATACCAACTTCCTTTTACATATATTTATGACAGAAAAGCACAATAAGATTCTTCGCAGAAGTATAATCAGACAAAAAATTAACACTGAATCAATGAAGCAGACATTTAGGGATTGATCAAACATTTGGTTAAACAAGGTTTTGAGAACAGCCTTATTGTGCTCACCATAAGCCTTTGTATACACAAATATATCATCACCTATCTCATCAAAAAAACTCATCACCAATTAAAACATTTCATAGCAGCTAGTAGAAGAAATGGAGAATCGATTATTAGTTAAATTTGTCCAAATCTTTGAAAAGGAAGCCGGTTATTAATGGAACTTCTGACTGGAAAAGGAATCTGGGTATGGAAGTAATCTTTGAGTAATGAAGGGCCTATCCTTGGGACTCTAGTGAAAAAGGTAGATTTATCCAGATTTAAAGACATTTCAGGGTGGGTAGTTTATTTTTTCCAAAGGAGCTGAGGGAAATGTTCTTTACAAATATACGTTGGAAATGCTATCATGCATGGAAGAATTTGCATCAAGCACAGACGAAACCTAAAATTACGTTTAGATATAACCGGAAATATTGAATTTAAATCTAAAGAAAACTTGATTAGTCTGGAACGTAAGACAATCTGAAATACTGAACCAGTTCTCGAAGTACCAAAATGACGAAATTAGTGAAAGCATAACTGATAATATGTTGGAATTCCTGGAGCAGGACGCTATCTTTCTCCTCATCTGACATTTCTGAAACTCCTTCATCCGATAGTTTATCCATTAAGAATTGCTGAATTTGTGACTGATGCACGAGATACCATGGTGTCTGTATCTGAACACCGTCTTTTGGAAATTAAGGAGATACTGTTGTTATTTCTGATGAAGGGTCTAGGCCTGAAACGTCAGCCTTCCTGCTCCTATGATGCTGCTTGGCCTGCTGCGTTCATCCAGCTCTACACCTTGTTATCTCAGATTTTCCAGCATCTGCAGTTCCTACTATCTCTAATACCGGACAAGTCAGGTTCCAAAGTGAAACCTGGCACTCTGATGCTGCTTGGCTTGCTGTGTTGATCCAGCTGTACACCTTGTTATCTTTGATAAATCATAAGTTTAGTTTTTGTAGTTGGATACTGTAATCACCGAACACATACAAAAGAACATAAGCTTATTTTACAAAAGAAAAAAAAGAAACAAACAGAACTATGTATATATAAGACAGTTTAGAAAGTTCTTAACTTAAACAGAAAAATAAAGTTTCAATATTTTTTCCTCACAATATCCTTTAAAAATACTCAAGCAAAATATTGCTCCTATCTTTATCCTTTAACTTCTTATTTAATTGGCTGTTTTGAGTTTGGATAGTCTAGAGACTTCACTACAGTTCTGAGGGCCCAGGTGTCTATTCAATTCTGATGGCTTAGAGACTCCTTTCCAGCTATGATGCCTTGAACCTACAATTCTCACAACTTAAACTGCTGAAACAGCTTTAAAACTTCAAAAACTAATTTTCTTTCTACTTGGATGAAATTGTTCTTCTGCCCTGAAATCTGATTCTGAACTGAACTTCAAAAAGAAATGGCCCCTGGTCTGTTTTCTTGGTATATCATAAAAGTTCAACTTTGTAAATTCTTCATCAATTACCTTCACAGACATCCTACCAGCTACTTAAACTAAATGACACCTTGGAAATTATGTTCTTAATCCCTTTTCCAAATTACTTTCTGATTTCTTAGAAACTATCTTCACAGTACTGAAACCACACATCTATTCTACCACTACTTTAAAATCCAAATTCCCAAATTGCAATAATACATTATACACTTTTATCGGTCCCAAATCATTTCACTTAAGATCTTTTCCACTCTTTCAATTCAGAACTAGGGAGAAATATATCTTCAATGAAAACAAGCTAATAAGCACTTTAGCCAGAAGTGACAAGTGAATGATTCATCTTGGCTTCTTCCTAAGGTCCCAGCATTTGAGATGTCAGACTTCAGCCAATTCTATTTACTCCACATTCCCCTGACCAAGCTGCTCCAGTACAACACTGACATTAGAACCTATCTGGCAATGTGGACAGTTGCCCAGCTGCATTCTGTCTACAAAACGAAGGTCAAATCCAACCCGAGAATATACCACCCCATCAGTCTCCTTTCATCAGCAAACTGATGGAAAGGAGCTCTGATATGGTGTCAAACAGCAAGTGACCTGCTCATTAACACAGTCTGGGTTCTGCCAGGGCTACTCAATTCCTGACCTCATTACAGTTTTGGTCCAAATATGGACGTAAGAGCTGAACTTGAGAGATAAAGTGAGAGTGGCTGCTCTTGACATCAGCATTTAACTGAATATGCCATCAAGGAGCCTGAGCAGACTGGAGCCAATGGGAATCGGGGAAAGCTCTCTGATGGTTGGAGTCATACTTAGAAAAAAGTAAGATGGTTGCAGTTGTATTTTGCACTAAATATCTGCCTTCTCTTTCACAAATGTAAGATCTACAATCCTCTATTGTAGTCAGCCACACTCACTCGTGCATTTCCTGCAATTGGGCAAGCTGGAGATTGTGCTCCTCTATCAATAGCTGCACTTCTTCCTCAGGAACCAACCCCTGAAAATAGGAAGGAAAATATCATAGATTAACTTCATACTGCTACATGTTAAACTAAAACAGTGAGGAGGGAGGAGGTACAGGGACAAGTGATACATCTTCTGAGACTGTTGGTCATGGCAGAGGATGATCCTCTGAATTCATAGGCTTTCAGGTGGAAGAGAGAGGACAAAGGTGGACACTATTATCATGCTGGAAGGGAGGGGAAAGGGTGAGGGCAGAATTATGGGAAATAGGTCACAAAAAACTGAGGGCCCTGTTAGCCAAGGTGGGGATGAATTCTACTTGAGGAAAAATAAATACATATCGGAAACATCTGTTACACATTTATTCCAGTGATGCAACATTCCACCACCAAAAATATCTTCACTCCCAAGGGCACCTTTCCATGCAATTGTAGAAGGTGGAACACTTGCCCTTTTATCTCCTCCCTCCTCGCTGATCAAGGTTTCAAATTCATCTTTTAGGTGAAACAGCAACTTACATGCACCTCTTTCAACGTGGAATCATAGAAATATAGAATCCCTACAGTGTGGAAGCCAGCCATTCAGCCCATTGAGTCCACATCAACCCTCCAGAGAGCATACCACCCAGACCCACCACCCCCTACACTATTCCTGTTGTCCTGCATTTCCCATGGCTAATCTACCTAGCCTGCACTTCCCTGGACAAAATGGACAATTTAGTATGGCCAATCTACCTAATCTGCACATCACTGGACTGTGGGAGGAAACTGGAGCACTTGGAGGAAATCCATGCAGACATGGTGAGAATGTGCAAACTTCACAGATAGTCACCTGAGGCTGGAATCGAATCTGGGTCCCTGGCACTGTGAGGCAGCAGTGATAATAACCACTGAACCACTGTGCCGCCCCATACAGTCTACAGTAATGAGACAAAATACAGACTAGTTGACCACTTTGCACAACATGTCTGCACTGTCCTCAAGCATGACACAGATCTTCCCATCTCTTGCCATTTCAATACACCAGTTTATTGTCATTCTGTCCTGGGCCTTCCACAGTGTTTCAGTGAAGTCGAACACAGGCTCCAGTAACAGCACCTCAATTTCCATTTAGATATTTTACAGCATTCGGTACTAAAGACTCAGTTCAACAAATTTAGATAAAATTCTGCCCCTGTTTTCATAATATCCCCCATATCTCTCTCCCTATGTATCTTGTTTATATGGTTTTATTGTCAGCAGAGCAGACCATTTTTTTCTGCTATTAAGACCTACCATTCACCTTTATTTCATTAACACTCCATTTACCTTTTGTTCAGGGGCACTTCTACCATCTGTTCTGCTTACTCCTCTCCCCTTTCTCCACTGCATAAAACCCAACACCACTTTCTCAGGCCTTTAGTCCCGAAGAAGAGTCATAACAGACTCAAAACTTTACTGTTTCTCTTTCCACAGATAGGACAAGACTGGCTGTGTTTCTCCAGAACTTTCTGTTTTGATTTCAGATTTCCAGTATCTGCAGTACTTTGCTTTTACTGGAGTAAACAGAGGTTGGAATCTAATTGAGGACACAGGTAGTTTATATAATGATAAAAATATACAGTAAGAAACTGGGTCTTGGCTCAGATGCATGACAGTCAAGACCAGTCTAATTCATAGCGAATAACTGTACTTGTCAATAGACATCACTGAACAGCCACAGATAGAAGTCTCTATTATCTTATTTATAAACATTCTCTTTCTGTCCAGCTTTGTATTTCACTTACAGATATTTCATTAGAAGAGGATACCCGGGACATTGCAGAAGTGCAGCATTCTCTAATCTCAGGTTTTTTGAGACAATTTTCAAGCTCAATTCAATTATTTTCCTTCAAGTCTATCCCTGTGAAAGAATCACAGCGCAAAGAGTTACATGGAAGTGAGAGTTTTGAATTCAAAATTGTCACCAGCCTGAGGAGGCTCCATATTTGGGCAAATATCTAGTCTTTCCTCTTAGCCATGTGATTGAATTTAGGATCTTGGTACGTGAAACACATGGGTGCAACGGAGCTCTGTCAGACTGCACCAGTATTTGTCTACTTCACATTGAGCTGCTAATTCAAAATCATCCTTTTGATTTACAGGAGCTTTCATGCATTTTAAAACCATTTTAAAATAAGAGCCATGAATCAGAAAATGCCAAACACCAATGAAAATTTTGTTTGTTTTCACTTCTTCACTTATTTCTCATTGAGGTGCTAGTTTCTTGTTGAGATTAGCTCCGTGGATGCTAACCTGTTACACCAAAACTGCCAAATGAATGTCAACACAATGTTCATGGGGAGGTTATCAAGATCCTCAACTCACCGAATGCGTACAGCACTTCCAGCACGCAAAAGCAACTGGGGGCAGGAACATCTGCTGCAGATTACAAAACCCTCTCTAAGGTAACCGTCAATTGGGTCAGGCCTGCTCTGGAATCGGTGATTCACCCCACCCTAACCTGTGCTGTACCAGGCAGGACGATCTCCGAGAGCCTCACCCTCCTCAGGGATATGATCGTCTACATGCAGAACATGGGGTGAATGTTTGCCTCGTCAGCCAGGAGAAGGCTTTTGACAGAATATCACACAGCTACTTGTGGGACGTGCTCTCCAAAATGGGTTTTGGGGAGGGAATCTGTAATTGGATCTGACTGCTGTACACGAACATCATTCGTGCAGTCTCAATTAATAGGTGGGAATCAGAAAACGTCCCAATCAGATCTGGAGTCAGGCAGGGCTTCCCACTCTCTCCTGCTTTGTTTGTGTATTGTGTAGAGCCTTTTGCCAAGTCCATCAGGAAGGATGCGAGCCTGAGGGGGGTGACTATTCCAGGCATCACAGGCCTGCAGGTCAAAGCCTCCCTATATATGGATGAAATTGCCATTTTCTGCTCGGATCCACTGTCAGTGCGGAGACCCGTGAGCATCTGCGATCAGCTTGAACTGGCCTCAGGAGCCAAGTTAAATCGAGGCAAGAGTGAAGCCATTTTCTTTGGGAACTGGACTGACTGATCCTTTATCCCCTTCACTGTCAGGGCAGGTTACCTGAAGAAGCTGGGAATAAGGTTCAGAGTGGCCGGGGCATACACAAAAACTTGGGAGGAGTGTATCATTAAGGTGAGGCAGAAACTGGGCTTTTGGGAGCACTGCTCCCTCTCCATTGCAGGTAAAAACCTGGTCATCAGGTGTTAGGCACTCTGTTGTTGTAGGCGACACAGTCTGGCCCATTTCCCAAACCTGGTCCGTTGCAATCACCCGAACTATCTTCCGTTTCATCTGGAGGTCTAAGATGGACCATGTCGACAGGGACACCATGTACAAAACTCTGGATAAGGGGGGGAAGAACGTACCCAGCGCTACCCTCATCCTGATGGCCACCTTCACGTGTGGCTGCATTAAGCTATGCGTAGACCCTCAGTATGTAAACAGTAAGTCTCACTTTGTACTGAGGTTTTACCTGTCCCCGGTGTCACGAAGGATGGGTCTGACTTCATTGCCATGGAATACTCCACATCATTGGACCATTCCATATCATCTGTCCTTCATGGAGAAATTTGCAAAGAAAAGCAACTTTTATCGCAAGTCCATCAGGAAGCGGTCAGCACATAATGTCCTCAAGACCCTGCGGGAAAAGGAGAGGCAGATCCTGTCAGGTTGTTCCCTGAGCAGACTGTCAAAGTCATTTGACAGAATGCTTCATCACCAAAACTTTCCAACAAGCACCAAGACATTACTTGGCTGGTGGTGAGAAGGGCACTACCTGCAAAATCCTTCACGTATGCTCAGACTCTCTGCATCACCACACACTGCCCTTGAAGTGGCTGCAGGGAGTGAGTGTTGAGACTGTGACACATCTCCTGCTGGAATGTACCTTTGCAAAGAAAGTCTGGAGAAAGACGTGGTGGTTTTTGTCAAGGATTGTCCTCAGCAGCTCCGTGAGGCAGGACTCTGCTCTAGGGTCAGATCTCCGGGACACACACTGAGACAAACATCGACTGTGCCTGGTGGACCATCAACTCAGTGAAAGATGCTCTTTGGTCTGCCTGAAACTTGTTGATCTTCCAGGGCAAAGAGTTGACCTCAACTGAGTGTTGCAGACTGGCACATTCCAAGGTCCAGGACTACAGCTGAGGGGCGCACTAAAGCTTGGGGCAGCTGCCACCAAGGCACAGTGGGGAAAGACCACCATCTAAGGTTTTTCAGCCAAATTTAAATGGGGGCGCATTCAGTTATCAGACCACACAGTACCTCAAATACATGTAAATATGGTCTTATACAAGTGAGAAATGCCTTTGGTTTGTTTGCTGGATAGAATCAAACTCCAATTTTTTTTGTTTCATCATATGCTACTGTACAGAAGCGAATTACTTAAGTGGCTTTGTATGTATATAAAGATATTTTTTATGAATAAAGTATACTTATGAAGTAAAAAATATCAGCTGATTTCCACCTAGCCCCCAGAGGAACTATGACCCACATACGTTTACTTCAGACAAGATCCAAAAACTTAGATGAGACCAGGGATCACAGTTGGAATAATCCTGGTCTTGCTTGTTTCCTACTCATTCGTAGGATACGGGCATCACTGGCTAAGCCAGTATTTATTGCCCATTTCTATTGCCCTGAAGAAGGTAGTGGGAAGCGGCCATCTTAAACTGTTGCAGTCCTTAGGTAGGAACATCCAGAATGCATCTGCAAAGAAAGTTCAGGATTTTGACTCAGCAACTGTGATATAGTATCAAGTCTAGATTGTGTGTGACCTGGAGGGGACCTTGTAGAGGATGTGTTCCTATGCATCCGTTGCTCTCACCTTTCTTGCTGGTGGACGTGACAGGGTAGAAAATGCTGTGAAAGGAATTTTGTTGTGTTACTGAAGTGCATGTTGTAGATGGTACACACTGCTACCATCGTGCGTGCCGAGCAAGAGGGTTGCTTTGAACTGGATGGTGTCAAGCTTCCTCACTGTGTGATGCTGAAACCAGCAAGGCAAGGAGAAAATATTTTATCACATCCCTGACTTGTGTCTTGTAGATAATGAACAAGTGGTGAGTTGGTTGCTACGGAATTCCTAGTCCCTGACCTGTTCTTGCAGTCACAGTATTTATACGATCATGTTCAGATTTTGATCAATAGTAAACCCCAGAATGTTGATCAGCAATGGTAATGTAATTGAACACCAAGGACAATGTTTAGAAACTCTCCTGTTGGCAATGATCATTGCCTGACACTTGTGTAGGATGAAAGCTATTGCCACTCATCAGTCGAAGCATTTGAATTTTGTCCGTATCTTGCTGCATATGGACATGGACTACTTCAGTATCTGAAGAATCATGAATGGTGCTAAATACTGTGCAATCACCAGCAAACATTCTCACTTCTGATTTAATCATGGAGGAAAAGTCAGTGATAAAGTAGCTGAAGATGGCTGGGCCTAAGGCACTATGTTAAGGAACTCTCACAAAGATGTCCTGGAACTGAGATGACTGACCTCCAACAACCACAATCATCTTGCTTTGTGCCAAGTATGACTCCAACCAGCAGAGAGTTTTGCGATTCTCAGTGTCTCCAGTTTTGCTCGAGTTCTTTGAGGCCACACTCAATCAACTGCAACCTGTCAAGGTGCAGTCACTCTCACCTCACCTCTGGAATTCAATTCTTTTGGCCATATTTGAACCAATGAGATCAGGAGTTGACTGGCCCTGGCAGAACCCAAACTGGGCATCAGTGAGCAAGTTATTGCTGAGTAGGTGCTGTTTGATAGCACATTAATGAATACCTTCCAGCACTTTACTGATGATCGAGAGTAGACTGGTGGGCTGAAGTCACTGCGTTGGGTTTCTCCTGTTTTTTTTTGTGTACAGGACGTACCTGGTCAATTTTCCATATGGTCAGATAGATTGATAATCACGTTTTGAATGCTTTTGAGAGATTAATTCTGGCCAGGATTCTAACAGTATTTTCTTCCTTGTCCTCAAAACGTTAAAGGATTCTCCTGAGAAGCCAGACAGGACCCAAATTTTATGATTCATTGAATGACAGTACCTCCAACAGTGCAGCTCTCCTTCAGTACCCTTCTAAATTTACAGCATGGACCATGTTCTCTGGAACTTGAACCTACAACTTTCTGATTCAGAAGCAAGTGTCCTACGTTAAGGCTGATACCTTAACCTTAGTTGGAACCTGATTTACAATTTGCAGGATCTAGACTGAAAGGGAAGTTCCTATCATAGTGCCAGTGGAAAACCTGTGCAACTTTTACACTCTTGCCCCATTTAAATATCCTGATGATAACTATCATCCAAAGCCTACAGGAGGCATGTCTGACAAATTCAGCAACTGCACACCATCAGGAAATAAATGATAAATAAATGGTACCTGGGACCAAAGTTTCCTTGTAAAATCAGGAGAATCATTCTTGATCCTCCTTATCATAAGGGAACCTTAAAACAAAATGGCTTAGCTTGGGCTCTTCTGACCCCAATCTTAAATGGTTCATACATTTTGAAATTAAATTAGCATCAGAGTTCAAATTATAACATCAAATCTAGACATTCAAATACTTGAGGCCCCAGGTGCAGCAGCAGATGGTTTTGATACCAAGAGTTAAAATGGTGGGGAATAGATCATGCCTAACAGCCATTGGGGTTTGTTTTCACTTTTATTTCTAGTTATTTTTAATAACTGGTTTTACCTGTAGCATCCAAGACAAGCTCCTCTAGACTCCAAGCCTCTGTGGACTGATCCTTCCACATCAATTCCTCCATCTCCTCGAAGTGGTGACTGATGCATAGGACCGCCATAGTTCGAGCTGGTAATTGTGAAGATTTAGGAGTAAAAAGTTGAATTTCGATATTACTCCTACGTTTTTGTCCCATCTGTAGATCCTGAGCAAAAGTCAAGGCAGGGAGGTCAGCCTCCCGAACTGTGAACAATTATGTTTTATTTATTTACTCCAACTTATGTTCTGCTTGGCAAGTTGAGCGATAATCAGTGCTGGAAAGTAGAACACTGCTTGATTTTCTGCCTTGAGGCACCAACACCGAGTAGCACAAAGTTACATTCATATTTACCCAAGAAATTCTTCTAAGTTAATCAAGTTCAACAGAGGTTAAATGCTTCCTTTCCAAAGTCCCTTCAATTGTTCTCACTTCAGCATAGATCAGCAGTAGCAAAAAGAAACCCTTAAATTTGGATTAGAATGTCAAGGCCAGTTACATTATTGGTTAGATGCGCCCTCTGCGTTGCCAGGGTAACACTTCTTAAGCTCACCTTCCATTGTACAAATTAACATTTATGACATCCACCAGGTTTGAGTGAGACTACCAATCTGCATTGAATTTTATCCTATAGGTTTACAATTATTCATAGCTGCATTGAAATTCGTTCAATTGATTTCAATTAGAAGGACTGCAGCCAAAAATCCCAACTGTTTAAGACTACATTTAAATCCTAGAAATAGATTTAAAGAATTGCATTTTCAATATGCTACCTGGAAATTTCCAGGCTCTGACCTCAATCTGTACAACCTGATCTTGGCCAGATAGCAGTTTGGTTCTACAGTTGGTCTGAACACTCTAATTGATAAGAAAATCAAATCATCTTTCTGCTCCTGAACACGACTCTGGCTATACCTTGTGAATAGTTTGTTAGGGAATAAGTAGGTGTGGAAGATCTATGGTTCAAATGGCTGAAACATTCATTGTCTAGGTTTACTAATGTGCATTTAGGTGAGGTAACTGAATGGCAACCAGCGTCCATGGATCTATTTCCCAACAAGAACACAAATTCCTCCAAAAGACAAGCAAATTGACAGGGAGTGGAAATAAATGCCAATATTTTGACTATCTGTTTACACTGAAACTGAAGAAATCACTTCAGCAACTCAGAGGATTCCTGTGTCACTAAAAGCTGCCTGCTTCATATTTGAAGATCAACGTGTATTCGTGAAAAATAGTTGAAATAGTGTAATCATTTTTACATGATTGACAAAGTTGCTTTAAAAATGAATTAACTTAGATTACAACCTAAATGCCAACCGATCATGACTTATTTCTAGAGGGGGAATGGGCTTGTTGGCGTACCAATACACAAGACCATTCTCAAGATTATGTCCCCACATTTCAGATCTCTTTGCAATGCACCTTTCTCTCATTCAAAAGGGTGCCAGACAGATTTGGTGACAGCTCTGCAGATATAACATTTTAGATGTGTGAAGGTTTGATCTCTGCTTCACCCCGAGGTGAATCATGTCATAAAATGGATAGGGTACAGTGGAAAGACAGAAAAATGTCAGGAGAAATTTATATTCCTTGGCCAGTTCCCAGCTCAATATAGCCTACAGTCTTGGCAGAACAGGTGTCATGACCAGATAGAATGTAAGGTACACAATTCACACAAAAAATTATATTAAATTTTAAAAATAATCAATACAGTAAAGCAATGTGTTATTGCTACCTGTGGTAATATGAACTCCCCTTTAGCGATCATTGCTTCCTGTTTGCGAAAAAGCAACACCTTCAGCATAGAGGAATCCTTCTTTTCTCCTGATACCACCATTGCAAACTTTGCTCCACAAGTGCTGAGATATAATTCAAAATAATAAACAGTTTCATCAATAAGAAAATGGTAGTTTTATATCCCTACAATCTCATTGCCAGTTTCATTTGATTTTCCTTTTCTTTTCTTTGTATGGCACACAGCAAGCAAAGGATGTTTTTCTGAATTGATAAGTCAAAGTGAAAAGGCTTACAATATGTGGGAAGTCACATAGACTGAAGGCAAGAGGTAAACAAGTTGCAATTAGATGACAAGTATTTTTAAAAACTGGTAGATTGTTGCAAGGAGACAGAGAGGTAATAAGCTCCAATGAGTTGGAACAGAATAAGACGCTGTCACCTTTGATTTCAACTATGTGGGTACTGGAAGACAAAATAACCATTACATGTTACAGTGATTCCAACCAATTGACAAGTTATGCTAAGCTCAATCAAAGATGTCCTTATTATAATAAGGCCCAATCTTTGATATTTTGCTAGCTTTCTTGTGATACTTGAGATGTCACACCAAGAACAGGTTTTCAGACCAGGTCATTGAAATATTCTTCTGACCTAGTTGAATACTAACTAAATTTACACAATGTTGCTGTATATTAAACTCCTTCTATCATACTGGCTGCAATGGTGTCTGTACCTGAAACCCGAAGACTTCTGCAGCTGAGGCCTGATCTGTAATAGCAACTGTTGGAAAGTATCCTGTCAGTACTTATAGTCTAGATTTACAATTGAAAAATATCCACTCATAGGAGATACCAGAGGACATGCATCACCAGGAACTGCATCCCAGTATAAATCACTTTTGTGGAATGACAGTGAAACTGGGTAGTTGAAAGGCATAACTTACTCAGTCAGTACGGACTCCAAGGCTGACTTTGCAAAGTCACTCTTGGTCACTTCTGATGTTTTTAATATTCCAGGTGTAGACCCAGTGGCAGGCATATCTGTCAACATATAAATATCACAATATTGAGCATTGAGATGGATGATCATCCATGATCCAAGTGAACGACAAAGAAGGCTCGATGAGCTGAATGGTCTACTTACATTACAATGCTCTGATATTCCTAAATTAGTGTCATAAACTCAATCAATCAGAATATAGCACTGAGCTCACAGGATGTTATATTCAGTGCAATAATCTTATCCAGGATTCTCCTGGTCGACCCATCATTTCAGCCTGTTCCTGACTAACTGAACCTATCTTGACTTTATTTTTTCTCTCTCTAGTCTCTTCCCATCTATATTCATGATTCTTCTAACATGCTACGTAATTTCAACAATTTCTAGTTCCCCAATCCTAATTGCTTCTTCTGCAGAATGGATGTTCAATCTCTCTCTCCAGTTCTATCCCTTGCCAGAGTGTTCTAAGAGCTCTCAGGTTCTTCTTTCAGTGGAGGACCCTATAGTTCTCATTCACCATCAGCCTCCACCATCTGGCTAAGCTTGATTTCTTATTGAACAACTTCCCCTTAACATGTCTTACTCTGTCCAAATAAACATTGCTATGGACAACTGAATGGGCCATAGCTTTGCCTATCTTTTCATGGGAAGTGTGTAACATTCCTTATTCCAGTCCAACTCAGACTCTTTACCCCAACACTTTTTCTGGTACATTAAAATGTGTATTGGTGCTCCTTCTTGCTTTTGCCCAGAATTGAAAACATTTAGCAGGTTTTCTTCCAATGTTCACCCTTCTTTGACATTCTCATGGTCCATCTCTGACACTGCCTTTCCCTTCCTTGATGTATCTCGCTCCATTTCTGGAGTTAGGCTTTCTACTAATATTCATTATTAGTCCACTACATCCCACAGCTCCTAAAATTCCTCATACTCTGATTTCTCCAAGTTTTCCATCCCATACTCCCAGTTTCTTCATTTCCATTGCCTCTGTTCTGTTGATGCAATTTTCCACAACAGCACTTTGTCATGTCTTCCCTTTTCCTCAACCAAGGATTCCCCTGTACTGCGGTTGACACAGCTCACAGCCATGTCCAACACATTTTCTGAACTCCTGCCCTCACTTCTTCCCCTTCCTCCTAGAATCTAGATAGGGTTCTCCTTATCTTAATTTTTACCCCACCATCCTCCACATTAAAAAGATTATCCTTTACCATTTCCAACACTTCCAGAATGATGACACCACTAAACACATCTGCTCCCACCTTGTCTCCATTGTTCGTATTTCAAAGGGACCATTCTCTCTTCAATACCTTCTTCAACTTTTCTACCAGCCCTCAACTCTTTATCACCTTCCATGTATTCATAGTAGGTATACACCTGCCTTTTTACCTCCTCCATCCTCACTCTCCAGGGCCTAAACACTCCTTCCCAGTCAAACAGTACTTCTTTCAATTTAGTATACTGTTTTCATGGCTCACTGTGGTGCAGTGAATATCATTAGATTAGTAATCCAGAGTTCCAGACTAGTGTCTGGGGACATGGCTTCAAATCCCAACCTGTCAATAAAAATCTGGAATTAAAAACTAGCCTTAAGAAGACCACAACAACAACAAAAACAAAGTTGCTGGAAAAGCTCAGCAGGTCTGGCAGCATCTGTGAAGGAAAAAAAGAGTTCGGCTTTTTCCTATGATGACCACTGTTGTTTGTCATTAAAAACACATCGGGTTCACTAATGTCCTTTAGGGAAGGAAATCTGAAATCCTTTTCCGGTCTGGCCTACATGTACTTCACAGCAACCACAGCAATGTGGTTGACTCATAACTGCCTTCTGAAATGGCCTTGCAAGCCACTTAGTTAAACGGTAATAAGTGATGGATGATAAATGTTGTTTCAGCCAGTGATGCTCACAGCCCATGAATTAATTAAAAATGCAATCCTCTACATTCACAATGGTGAAACACAAACTAGGTGACTACTTTCAAAAACACCTCCAGTCAGTCCACAAGTACACCCTGACCTTCCAGTTACTTGCTATGTTATTTCACTACTTTGTTAGCATACTCACATCTTTATTCCTGGCCCTCTGCAATCTTCCAATGAATTCTGTACTGGATGATTCTATGATCCTAAGCCCAGCACAAGTTTGAGGACCTCATCTTTCAATTACGCACGTTACTCCCTGCTGGACTCAATATTGAATTCTACGACTTCTGTTCTACATTTTGATATGTATTATTTTTGCTAAGTATCATTCTAGATCTTGTTTTCACGTCTTGCTTTCAGAATTGTCCTTTATTCTGCCATTAGCACTTATTCTAGACCAATGACTTGTCACTTTTATACAAGCATTACCACTCCCCTTGCCTTTTGTTCCCCGACAGCTTTGTCATTTAATCTCTCCCAACCTCTAACCACTCCTAACATTTTCTTTTTTTCTACCTGATTCTCCCACCCTCTCTTTTCAACAGGATAAATACATCACATTTTTATCGTTCTTCATTTCCATAGAAGATTTGTATTGAACTTGAAACGTCAACTCTATTTCCTTCTGCACAGATGCTGCCTGGCCTACTCTGTTTGCAGGATTTTCTGTTTAAATCATTTTCTTCAAGTTTTATGGGTATTATTGTACACAAGGGATTGGTGTTCATTGGGGATTCAATAGCCATTGATTCAGATAAGATGTTCTACCACAATTGATGTGAGACTTGTGTGGTGTGTTGCCTTGCTGGTGCCAAGGAACAACAATGAAAGGATGGTGAATATTCTGCAAGAGAATGGAGAAGTTGTGGTCTATGTCAGAACCAATGAGATGGGGTGAAGGGAGTTGGTATCCTGCAGTCAGAGTTAATGAATTAGAGAGGGTGTTAAAAAACCAGGTGGACTACTCCCAAAACGTGCACTAGAGAATCCCAGGATGGTTAGCACAGAAAGGTCATTTTGTCCATGTGTCCATGTCAGCTCCTGCAACGACGACTCAGTTTGCCCCTTTCCTTTTCCTTTAGCCCTACAAATTTTCTCTCTTCGGGTGCTTATCCAAATCGTTTTGGAAAACCATTAGTGAATCTGTCTTCACCACACTCTCACAAAATCCTAACAACTCACTGCATAAGAAGTTATTCCTCACGTCACAACTAATTCTTTTATTTATCACCTTAAATCTGTGTCATCTGGTTTACTACACTCCATCAATGTAAACAGTATCTACTCTGTTCAGATTCCTCATGATTTTGAGCAACTGAAAATCTCCTCCTAATTTTCTTTAATGAGAACAACCCCAGCTTCTCCAACATAGCCACATAACAAAAGTCTCTCATCCTTGAAACCTTTCTTGTAAATTGTTTCTGCATCCCTCTCTCAAACCATCACATCCCTCCTTTTGAAATAGGAGGATATGGCAAGTAAATGCATAGTGAGAAACATTGTACAGGAGAAAGGGCTTCAATTCCAAGAACATTGAGATCTGTTCTGTGGCAGAAGAGACTTATTTAAAATGGATGAATTGCAGCTGATCAAGGCTAGGACCAATATCGTTGCAGTGGGAGAGAGTCTCAGCTAATTCAGATGACAGTTGGGTGCAAGATGAATTTTAAAACTAGAAATGAGGTGCACAGAGGATTGAGAAAAACAGAATGAGAAATAATAGCACAATTAGATGAGATTGCAGAACATACAAAGATGAATAAGTTAGATGTGACAGGTAATGGGGTAACTAAACACCTTGAAATTTTCAGTTAATAAGGGCCAACCAGCATTGATCCATGACAAGTAAATGATGCCTGACAAACCTCATTGATTTTTTTGAAGAGATTACAGTGGACAGGGGAATATCTATGTATGTTGCTTATGGACTTCAGAGGGCATTTGATAAAGTCCCACATAAAACATTACTAAGGTAGGAGCCCACAGAATTGAAGGTAAATTACTGTGTGGGTTTCCTCCGGGTGCTCCGGTTTCCTCCCACAGTCCAAAGATGGGCTGGTTAGTGGATTGGCCATGCTAAATTGCCCATAGTGTCCAGGGATGTGTAGGTTAGGTGGATTAGCCATGGAAAATGCAGGGATAGGGTAGGGGAGTGAGTCTGGGTGGGATGCTCTTTGGACAGTCGCTGTGGACTTATTGGACCAAATAGCCTGTTTCCACACTGTAGTGATTCTATGATGACTCGAAAATTTATTGAGTCCCAGACGACAGTAAATAGGGATAATGGATAGGTATTCAGATTGACAAGTTGGCCAAATCAGCAGACACCTCGAAGAAGACTTTCAATGTAGCTAAACGTGAGGTAATGCATTTTAGTAGAAAAACATTAAGAGCCGATACAGGCTGTACAGTACAACTTTGATGGGAATATGAGCAGAGAGACCTTGGGGTTCATGTACATAATTCACTGAAGGTGGCTAGAAACTTGAAACATTGTTATGGTTTATTGGGTCCTTGGGTTTATAAGGAGAGGTATAGAGTATAAAAGCAAGGAAGTGATGCTACAAATCATTGGTGAGACCACATTTGGAGTGTTGTGTTCAGTTCTGGGCACCTTATTTAAGAACAGATGTCAAAGCCCTGGAGATAGTGTAAAGGAGTTTTACTAGAATGATACCAGGAATGATGGATTTTAGATACAAGGAAAAACTAGAGAAATTGAGCTTATTCTCCATGGTGCAATGAAGATCAAGAGGTGATCTTACTGAGGTATTCAGAATTATGAACAATTTTGAGAGGGTAATGAAGGATATTCTGTTTCCACTAGATGGTATGTCAGTAAATAGAGATCACAATTTCAAAATTGCCAGCAAGAGAGCTAGGAGTGAGATAAGGAGAAACCTCTTGACTTACTAAGTTGTTAGGGTTTGGAATGCACTACCTGGGAGAGTGGTAGAGGTGGATTCCATACCAGGTTTCAAAAGAGAGCTGGATTTATATTTGATAGTGATGAATTTAGAGATACAAAGATCGGACTGGAGAAAAGGACTAGCTGTGGAGCTCTTTCAAGAGCTGCTACAAACACAATGGGTTGATGGCCTCCTTCTGTTGTGTAAAATTGTATGATTCTGTAAAATGCAAAGTGTGTGTGAGTGTTTGTGTGTGTGAGTGTGTGTGAGAGTGTGAGAGAGACAGATGCTCCAAAGGTGTTAGCAGTGGAGAGCTATATACTGAGCGAATACACAGGATGCTCTAATGATCGTTACATTTCATCTTGCCTACACACAAGGGTGAATCTGTTGCAATATTTTTAACAGGTCACTCAAATCAGTTCAAAGGTCAGTTCAAGGGGCAGTCAGTGTTTTTGTTAGTGAGTTAGCCAAGAGCAAGGTAGTAGGCACCGGACTTGCTTGGCACCATGCTTGCCATCCACCTGGCACTGTATCCTCTTCGCACCCTATTCTTACACCTTACATACTTATCATTTGACAGCAGCTTTCGAATTGGACGTATGTGATTCTGGAGTTTTAGATTACAGAATATGGCAGCTGACTGCTTGAAAGAGGGGGTGTGGTTTGCCTTCCCTAAAAATTCTGCATTATGAGGGACTTGTCAGAATGGAAGTGTATTGCTCCACATTTCTTAAGGGGCCCTGATCAGAATCCCCTGTCAGGAAGGCACAGACCTTTCACTGTGTAAAAAAAATCTCTGCATGAGAGTACCACTTCTCAGAAAATTCAGGCTAAGCAAGTCACCTGAGAACGACTCTGATTACCAATTACCAGTGATCGCTGTGCAAGGGGTGGAAAGTGCTGTCTTTAAAATGGTTACGTGATTGTTCAATTACTTCTCTGAATGCTCTTTTTTATATAGAATGACATAAGTCAGACATGACTCTTCATCCTACCTTATTTATCGGTACTTATTTTGACCTGTTTCCGTGGTTTTCTGTTTTGCTTGTTCTCTGGACCCTGTATAAGCTGTATTTGGTGGTGTTCTTGTTGATAGATAAGTTGACAGGACAGACATTGCTCAAAAGGGCCATAAAATTTACCCACTGTCACACAGAGAAATCTGAATTAAAATAAACATTTGCACGTTAGAAACTAGGCTAAAGGAAATTCAGGTCAATTATACTGTCAATTATATGTCCATGATGAATATAACAAAATAAAACTTTGTAATAACAGCCTTTGGAATTGAATGTGAAACTTTGGAGGCCAAGAGATAAATTTTAAGATCTCACATCTACTGCAGAGTCTTGCTTGAATGGGAAATGGATCAAGGAACTGGATGCAGGTTCAATTCATGCACTCCCTAATGCATGGTCATGAAATTTAATCACTGAAAAAGCAGGAAGTTCACAAATGGAGCACACAGCAGTCACATCTAATTTTTTGTTCAGCATTCCAGTTGCATTAAGTACTACATTAAGAGGCTAAGCCTTTTGTATTTATCCTTGTATACTAGGCTTACTGTTTCACAATTTAACAAAACTGTTTAGGAGCACCGGTTGAATGCTTGAAGCCATTGCACAATTAGGTTTAATTTTCTTTCAAGAGGAAGGCTAAATATAACAAGACGGACAACTTTAGGATAACTTTTGAAGCTTCCAGGAGGATTCTGGAAAATATTCTTAGAAGCAGAAGTAGATAATGTGGAATGAAAATATTCAAATATATGAATGGAAGCAGATATAGGCCATTCGACTCCTCTAGTCTGCTCCACCATTTACGGTTCATTTGGTTGTGTTTCAAGTTCCACATTCCAAACTATTGCCAATAACCCTTGATTCCCTTGCCTAAGAAGAATCAATTTACCTATGCCTTAGAAGTATTCAATAACCCTGCTTCCACCACCTTCTAGGGAGGGAGTTTCAAAGTCACCCAACCCTCTGAGAGAAAAAAAAGTCCCTTCATCTCTGACCTAAAAGGATGCCCCCTAATTTTAAACAGTGCCCCTAATTCTGGACTCACCCACAACAGGAAACATGCTTCCTTGACTATCTTGTCAAGACTGTTCAGAATCTTACATACTTCAGTCAAGTCATCACTCACTGTTCTAACCTACAGTGGTAACAAGACCAGTCTATCAATCATTCCTCATAAGTCAACCCACTCATTCCATGCTCATCAATCTAGTCAACTTCTTCTGAACCATCTCCAATGTATTTACATCTTTCCTTAATATAAAAAGACAAAAACTGCATAGAGTATTCAAGGCATGGTCTCACCAATGCCATGCATAACATCCTTACTCTTGTGTTCAATTCCTTTCGTAACAAAGGTTAGTATTCCAGCAGTATCCTTCACTACATACTACACCCACATACTTTTTGTGACTTATGCACCAGAACACCTAAAACTCTCCATACCTTTTGAGTCTGCAGTCATTAACCATTTAAGTAATACTCTGCTTGTTTGTTTTTCCTGCCTTCACATTTTCTTACATTGTACTCTATTTGGCAGATGGAGTATAATGCAGGAAAGTGCAAAATTTACAATTTTGGCAGAAAGAATAAAACAAAGCATAGTATCTAATGAGTGACAGGTTGCAGAGCTCTGAGATGCAGAGGAGTCTAGGTGTCCCAGTGAATTGCAAAAGGCTAGCATGCAAGTACAGCAACTAATTATGAAAGCTAATAGAATGTAATGATTTATTACAAGGGGAATTGAATGCAAGAGTAGGGAGATAATGTTTCAGTTACACAGGGCACTGGTGAGGCCACATCTGGAATGTGTACAGTCCTGGCCATCATACTTACAAAAGAATAAACTGCTTCCAAAGCATTAACAGCAGAAGTTTTACTCAACTAATATCTGGAATGAACAGATTGCCCTATCAGGAAACTCTCGACGGGTAGGTTGTATCCATTGGACTTCAGTGGAATCAGAGATGAATTAATTGAAACACATAAGATCCTGAGGGGACCTGACTGGATGGATATTGAAAGGAAGTTTCCTCTCGTGGGAGAATCTAGAACTAGGGTCATACCTTGAGAATAAAGGGGCACCTATTTAAAACAGAGATGAGGAAGCCTATTACCTCTCAGAGGGTTGAGTGTCTTTGGAATTCCCTTCCTCAAAAGTGGATGCAGAATCTTTACATATTTTTAAGGTAAAGGCAAAGAATCCCTACAGTGCTGAAAGAGGCTATTCAGTCCATCAAGTCTACACTGACCCTCCCAACAGTATCTCACCCAGACCAGCCCCCACCGTATCCCTATAACACTGCATTTGCCATGGCTAACCCATCGAGCCTGCATATCCCTAGTCACAACAGAGCAATTTAGCATGGCCAATTCACCTAACCTGCACATGTTTGGACTGTGGAGGAAACCCACACAGACACAGGGAGAATATGAAGAGTCCACACAGACAGTCACGCAAGGCTGGAATGGAACCTGGGTCCCTAGCGCTGTGAGGCAGTGAGGCAGCAGTGCTAACCACTGAGCCACCATTCTGCCTTCAAAATATAAAGTAGCCAGAGTCCCAGAGGACCATAGGGATGGTCTCTGTCATTGGAGAGAGACGACTCATGGAGTGGTTTAATCTAAGGGCCACTACACCTCAGGCAAGGGGCAAGGTTGAAAAGTTGGGACCTGTATGGTGATCTCAGCTGGCGTAGGAATTGAACCCATACTATTGGCGTTACTCTGCATCACAAACCAGCCGTTCAGCTAACTGAGCTAACTGACCCCCAGGGCAGAGGTAGATAGAAAGATTCTTAATTGCCAAGAGGATGAAACATTATCAGTGATATGCAGGAATGCAAGGTTGAGGTTAAAATCAGATCACAATCTTAATGAATGGCGCAGCAGACTTGAAGGGCCAGGTGGGCTATTCTTGTCCTTTGTATGTTTTTGCCCACTCATTCAATCTATGTGCATCTGCAACCTCATTATCTCACTTGTCACATCCTGTGAAGCAGACAAAGATCTAAGCCCAGCCCAGTATATACCAATTTGTTTCAGCTAGTTCAGCTTTCGTGCCTGCATAGTTTTATGTAAAGATCGAGGACACTAATCCCCAAGTCTGTTTAATTCTGTCCAAAATTTGTTCAGATCCGTTCAGATCCCTTACATGAACTGGGATGATCCAGAACTTGAGCCCCCAAACTGTTAGAAAGCAGAAGTTAAATGAAAGAAAATCCCTGATATTTACTTTATAAGTAATGAGTAACAATTTATTTATTTAATTCTAACAGTGAACAAATGAACAGAATTACTAACAAACTGAACAATTCCCCCTTAACTACTAACTATTCCCTAACTGAACTAAATTCTACTGGTACGCTATTCTAACAAACACAAGTTCCACTTATATAAACCCAAATAATAAGAAAATAAATTAAAACTTAGTCTCTCAAAGTCTACACGCCTTTCTTCTGCTGTTCTCAAGTCATAAATGCCTTTCCTCCGCTGATCCAGCTATCAGGGATGTTTTCTCTGTGAAGTCTTCTGTGAGGACTCTTAGCTAGAAATGCCATGGTACCTTTTATGGATAGATGGTGCTTTCTTAGAGAGCTTAGCAATTTCTTGTGAGAGCTAAATGCTTAATTCTCAGATGGTGGTTTGCTCTCAAACCGATTTTCAAAAACCCTCTCCTTATATACCTTGGATGACGTATCAATTTTCTTACAATAGCATTGGTCCAAGGTTGTCAAAACCATCAGATTTAAATTCAATTCGCTTTCAATCACTAAGTGCTTTATATTAATTGGCTGATTGCAGCTAGTTGCCAGAACATCAAAACAAGCCTAAGGTTTCCAATCACACAGACAATTGATACACGTTTCAAATTCAGAACTAGTGTATCCTTTCAGCTGCTTAGGCACATTTTCCGTGTAAATCTCTAAGCTTAGAAAAGCACTTTACCTCTTAAAGGAGTCATGCACTCTTCTCCCTCATTTTGTTTTACAAACAATTTCTAGCTTCCTACTTTCCAATTCACAATTACTGTACACAATTTCGTAACACATATACCCCCAATATTCAGGACTTAATGCTTGTCATAGAATTGCTACATTTCTGTAATAGCTATCAGATAAGTGGCATATAGCGCCTGTTTACTGAGCATGATAAGGGTTACACACTTTGAAACTTTACAGTGTTCCTTTAGATTTAACATGATAATGGTAATTTCCCATGTAATCAAACAGAAGCCAGAATCTTCCTACTTACTGAACATTGTGGACATTGGTGAGTCAGTTGGGAAAACATGATAAGATCAGCAGAAATGAAATTCTCGTCATTGAGATAAAGCTATTCAATTCTCCAAGCAAGTTTTTAAAATTGCATTCTATACTCATGCAAATCATAAATGCACAATCGAAATAAAAATATTTGCCACTATATCTGACATGGGCTGAATAACAGGCTTCTTTTCTGTTTGAACGCACAGACTCTTCTTGTGAGCAATGTAAGGCCCTTCAAGGGGCACTTTGTCAGACACTTTAACAGTACAGGTTGAAGTCACCTGCAAACATAGCACTCTGAATGTGAAGTACATGCAGTGTACGACTGTGGGTTACAAATCCTAGTCACACGCCTACATGACCGTGTCATTGGTTATTGTAGACTAAGCATTGTCATCTCTGTGAAGCAGAAGGAATTAGAGGTGATCCACAAGTGACAGGTGAGTGCCACAGTTCACAAAGACAATCCAAGATCACAAAGGCTTCACAAGGGCACAGAGCTGATTTCATCTCACGTTGAACTATAAGTATTGGCTAACATCCTGCCTTTCTTGGGTAATGTGGGGATGGGAAGAACAAGGCTCCAGTAATCATATGCAACATGGATTGTGTCACATTCATCAGAATAAGGTCCCTATGTCAAAGGTGAATGTACAACCATTCCATGGCCCTCCTTGTCAGAGTTCTCTATGTCCCACAGCATGGAGGAGCTGCACTGTCATTTGTGAGTGATGCAACTGCTGTCTGCCCACATGTCTGAGGATCTTTTCTTTTTCTTATATTTATCCCCAACGTTCATTGGAAGCATGGCCAATAGCAATCATTACTGTTGATGCTACACAGCAAAGGCAAAGAAAATTGAGGAGCAATCAACATGTCACTAACTTCAGAAAAACAGTAATCTTCAGCACATGCTGTACGCCTCCACGGGAAGAGGCTACAGCTGAAGGTACCTTCAGGATGTGCAAGTGGCGTAGAGTCCATCATCCTCAATTCCATTCTCTCATGATACATGAGGCACAGTGTTACTATAGGCTGAGGATGTCCTGCGGCATTGTCACTGGACTACCCAGCCTCTGGAGTGGGGTCTGCAACCTGAAGGATTGGGTGGCTATCAAGGTGATGGTTGGGCAAAACTTAAATGAAACCAGATGGTTATACATCTTAGAAGTCTAGGACAGGAACCCTAGGAGCTGCCATGATGCTTATATCCTTGAAAACTCTCAAGTTCCTGCTTTGTTTCAAGGGCTTGATGCCTTACAGGTTGCTTACTGGAAACAAGACCTACCCTTTGCAACCACATCTGATGATTCCAAATTGCAATCTCCTGAGTAAGGCTGAGCATAGGAACAATGCCACCCATTCTTTGACCAGGGCCACCCTGGAGCAGACGTTAGGCCTGCTGTAGAAGAGTCTGATGCCTGGATCGGTCTGGGCTGCCTTGCAGTACAGCCTAAACAGGGAGGAACATCACCTTCTGCATTTCAGTGCAATGCAGAATCAGGTGCACCAAATCAGACTCAATTGACACCCAGTTCCAATAGGTATGAGCTAGCTGCAGCAACTGTAACTTTGTTGCTGCTTGAAAAGCAAGCAGCCTCTGTCTGTTCCCAGTAGCACAAACAGCTTTTGTTTGCTTTTTCTTCTCTTTTGCAGTTGCTGAATGAATGTGAATATTTTTAGCCATTTAAAGGCTTTCCATGAGAACAACAAGACAATGTTATGTTAACTGGGCAATGGGGCAACAGTAACACTTCCTAAACAGGGTTCTAAGATGGGATGACACAAAGGACAGGTAACCTGTGTAGTTTGGTTTTTAAATAGCAATACACTTATGAGTGTACTTTTGTATTTACAAAGAAGGGTCATTTGTGACAGTTACTTGTCCTCAGAACTGTTTCTTTTTGGCTCCCCTCCCACTACATGCACTGTGAAGGGCAACTCCTAGCTGGGGCACTTGACCAAGTACGTGGCTGGGCTTTAAAACTGGTGCTGGGAATCCTGGGCACCAGGCAAGTACTTCTGCTTCTGACAAGAGGGAAGATAGAATGAACAGAGCAGAGCGGGGCTGGGCGAGATGAGTTGCAGAGAATAGCATGAGGAAACACGCTTGAGGTCACGGAGAGAAACCTGCCACGGAACTCTTGAAATTGACACTTAGCTGCTTTCTGGTAAAATGCAGCCCAGAGTTTAACTTTAACCAATAGAGTAAAGAATAGGGTAAAGAATACATCCTGTGCAATTCTACGCAGTTCATATTTCTTCAGTGGGGAAGATACCTTCACTGTATAACTATAACTTGCTGAGTAAATTGGGCCTATATTTTCTGGAGTTTAGAAGAATGAGAGGCGATCTCTTCGAGACATACAAGATTCTGAAGGCGCTTAATAGGGTAGATGCTGAGAAATTGTTTCCTGGACAGAAAATCTAAAACACAGGGGCATAGTGTTAGGACAATGACTGAGATGAAAAGAAATTACTTTACTCAAAAGTTGTGAATCTGCAGAATTCTCTACCGCAGAGGTATGTGAATATTCCAGCACTGAATGCATTTAAGGCTGGGATAGACAGAGACTTGGTTTCTCAGGGAATTAAGTGGTATGGGGAGCGGACAGGAAGGTGGAATTGAAGCCCAAGATCTGCCATGATTGTATTCAATGTTAGAGCAGACCTGATCAGCCACATGATCGACTCCTGCCCCTATTTCCTTTATGCTTGTACTGGAATTCTTCTTTATTTTGCTGGAAAGAAAGCTTAAAAATGCATATTTAAGTTCTCTATATACTAACAAGTTAGTTGTTTTTGCTGTATGACTCTCTTACCTGTGGTGGAGAGGGTCACCTGTCCAGATTCCTTGCTCCTCTGTCTGTCCCTCAGTTTGTGCTTCTCTATCAACAGTGTCTATCTTTAAAAGTGCGGTCTCACCCTCCAATGGAAACTGCAGTGAAAGTGAACAAGCAGGAATACGGCTTTTAAAAGGAAGCAAACCCATGCAGAGTAATGGAAATGTTAATGTCAGAACAAGCACAGAACTGCATAATGATTTAAAACTTTAGTGTCAGTTTATTGTTGGAATAATCTGAAATTATTTTGACATGATTTAACCGTATGATGCAACCATATATGACCAATGTGAAGCAAGGTTTCATTCTATCTCAAGCAGTACAATTTATGCATTAAATCTGGTTTTGTTGATGTGACTTGGAAAGACAGATTTATATATGTAATTTAAATATTCAAGTCAGAATACTGTATTGCTTTACAAGGACATTTCACAGTAGAATTTCTGAACTTGGCAAGGCAAGATACTCAAGAGAGTCAGCCACAATTTTAGGCAGAACCCACTTCTGCTGGGTCTCCTTTTCTTTTTTTTCACCTATCAACAAAATTTTGTGCATCAACCCCTTTTGTTCCAACATTTTGAAAGAGGTGGGATTGGTGGGATAGCATTCCTGACCAGAAATCCCACCAGTTTTGTTATCACTATGTTGATCTCTTCATCAACATTACACAACAATTAACTAACCATTTATCACATTATTTTCTGTGGGAACTGGTAGGTTTGCTGCCATGTACTCTGAAATTACAACGGATTATCCTTGAAATGTACTACCCTGGCTGTGAAACATTCTAGACAATATGTAGTTGTGAAAGAACGTCTGTTAATGTAAACTGCTTTACTCTTTTTTTCTCATTAGATTTAGACAGTGCACAGCTTCTCTAGGTTCTGAAGTGTACTTACTCTCTCCGTTGGGACCTTAGCTTCCTCCAAATCACTGTCATCTGTCTTCTATTCCTTGTCCTCATTTCTTCCCCATGCATCAGCCTCTTGATCCTCACTGCTAATCAGGCTCTGTCCAGATTCCTTCATAGGGCAGTAATATCAATCTGCTATACATTACTCATCAAAAAATCTGAAATATATTCCACGCACAGTGGAAGCTTTCTGTATGCCACTGAGATATGATTAATGTCTTGTAATAGAAAAGATGATTGGATGCCTTTTAAATATTGAAATCAAGACATCAGCTTTGAGATAACTGAAAATTGTATCTTGCTGCTATTGAAATTTTGATTTTGTTCTATATTTTATTGATATTGCTCATTTAATAGATTTTATTCAATTTTCTTGTTAGGTCTAATGTTGTGCCAATTGTCCATTGTTATTTCATCAAATAAATATGCTCGATGTATGAGCCAAGATGGTGAGTGCTGGCAATATTTGATTGTGAAGGGAATATCACAATCAAACCGGATTTTCAGGATTGGTGGTTTAGTGTAATTTTATTGGACTCACCAAAGGCTCCAGATAATACTCAGAGATACAAGTTCAAATCTCATCATAGCAATTGGTGGAATTTAAATACAATTAAATAATGAACTGTTGTTATTAATACCCAGTACCAATAATGATGATCATAAAACTGCCCAAATGTTTTAAAAACCCATCTGGGCCATTAATATTTTTTAGAATAAGACATCTGTCAGCTTTTCCTGATCAAGCAGCAAGACAAAACTGTGGCTATAATAACAGATGAAAGGTTGAGAATTCTGCAGTAAGTAACTCACATCCCAATTACTATTTAAAAAGGGCAAGTCAGGACTGTTAAGAAATAGTATCTGTTTATCTGAATGAGTGCAGTTGCAACAATCCTTATCAAAATCAACACCATCCAGAGCAAAGTAGTCCATTTGATCCCACCAAATTCACCACCTTCAATATTCAGTCCCTCTACCATCGATACATAATGGCAGGAATAGGTACTTTATACAATATGCAACACACCAATTCATCAAGCCTCCTTGAAAACCACCTTCCCAAGCTGTAACCTCTACCACTTAGAAGGACATGGGTAGCAGAAACATGGAACACCATCAATTTTAAATTCCCTTCTAAGCCACAAACCATCCTGACTTGAAACTATATTGTAATTGTTGCTAGGTCAAAAAGTTGGAACAATCTTCCTAACAGAGCTGTGCATTTTCTACATCAGACAAATTTCAGTAGTTCAAGATACACCAAGAATTGAGTCTGGTTTAATTCTTGTCCGTGTGGCTCAGTACCCCCAATAGACACTGCAATTTCAGGAACACTAGGTGACATGGAGGAATATTTCTAATAATTCAAATTCGCAGACTCTGAAAATGCCCTGGGCAAAGGGCACACTAGGCCCAAGCTCAGACCCAAACTTAGTCTGATATACTTTGTGCCTGCATCCCCTTTTTTCTCCTTCCAAGAGTCCAACCCAAATGAATTGGGGAAAAGTGCCTGCCATCACACATTCAAGAGCTGAAAACCACAGCATTTAGAGGTAAACTGAATGTAAGGAGGAGAATAGCAGGGAGAGGGAAAATTTGAAGAGAGAATCCCAAAGGTTGGGATGAGAAGAACACTTCTGAGGCAATATCCAGAATGCTCAACAATCATGTCATTGAACAGCTCTGCTAGGCACAACACTATGAAAATCTCTTGAGGCCACCACAGTCAGACTCTGATTTATCCCATGACTTTAATGCATTACCACAAGACTCATTGAAACAAGTTAGATCAAAATATGATAATGATCTTTAATTATCCATTCAAATAAAAATTAATTTTCCAAATTTCATTTTAATGACTATTTTTGTTTAGCTCCATTATATATCACCATTAGTAACAGAAACATGACTCTGACAGCCAGACAACATTATCCCTACAGTGACTTATTTTGTTTTTTTATTTTCTTCTTTTTGATAGGTTTATCATTTAAGTGAGGAGAGGAGGATTAAAGTATAATAATCCTAAAGGCTCAGAAGATAGAACAATCAACACATGATTGGGATTTTAAGAAATACCTACCTAAGGAATGCGAAACTGTATGTCTCACAAATGGTACGTACCTAGTCTGTGACACAATGAGGTTTGTTGGGTACTGCCAAATTACCAGTGGTGATTGTTTATGTCTAAACTTAGAAAATGGGAGTAGGATGGCTATTTAACCATGTGTGCATCACCAACAGTCCAATAGTATTGGCAGAGATCACGGAAATATAGTCAGGATCAGGACCCTGAGAGATTTTCTCTTCCTGAGATCAAGGACACTGAAACCAATATGGCAGTCTTATTGCTATCTTGTCAACAAACAGCAATGGGACTGCCTCATTTGTGTGGCCTAGTTGCATAGAATTATATATTTTTATTAAAGTTTTGTTGATTCCATTTTGAAGTGTACATCATCAAGTTCTCAGTCTGACATAAGCTCCTATTAAGTGGCAGGACAAAACACACAACCTCTGACAATGATAATTAGGTCAGTTTACCAGATTGTTGAAAATTAAATAATCTCACTTACCATGTCTCTCGAGACAATGTGCAGCTCTGAGTCAATTTGTCCATTTCTCTTAATTGACTTAATTGAATTCCCTTTGAACTGCTGAGATTCTAGGCTGTAACAGTTAACAACCAAACAACTTCAAACTGCAACATACCATCATTGTGACCAATAATGAATGAGATTTATTTCTGCCTACCCCATTACACCTTTTCTCTTCAGATATTCTACTCGAAACTTCCACCGCCGCCCATGAGCCTTTGCACGCTGCACGCAGAGACAGATTGCCACAGGATTAAAAGGTTTATTTAGTCTAGCACAGTGCATAATATCATGAATGCTAAAGTAAAATATTGAGGATGATGGAAATCTGAAAAACAAACAAAAATAGAAGGAAAATCACAGAAAATTTGAACGTGCCGTGGCCTTATTCAAACCCAGGTCCCAGAACATTACCTGAGTCACTGGATTAACAAACAGACCAATGATAATACCACTAGGCCATCTCCTCCCAAATGCACGGATGGAATAGTTAAGCAATTCCTCAATTTGAATATTTTGTTTCTAAACCCTTTCTTTGATTTCAATTTGAAGTTTTTTTTGCTGTTGGTTTGTTCAAAAATTGGAATCTGAAAAACAATGTTTGGAGAACGCCCCATGGTTGACTTCATAAGTGACCAGAGTAAAAGGGAAAGGAATAAAGCAAACAATACTTCACTAGTCTTGGGCTAAAGAGGGAAAAAGTAATTATAATTTAAATTCACTCCATTCCAGCTTTGTCCATGACAACTTATGTCCCATGATCATTTGCTGTAAATGTTATGGGCGAATGTTCCTGAAAGACAGGTGGGGGAACTTAATCAGGTAAGAGGCAAAATTTCTCTTTTCTGACAGCAATTTAAACTTTTGTTTTTGATTTCTGAGTAATTTCAGACAGGACAGGTTTCCTGACTGTAAGCGGCAGGAAGTTCTTTTGCATTCATTAGCCATGATCAATGCCATTAGAGCGGAGTAAGATATTACAAGAAACATTATTCATCCTTGTGGCAGAAATCCCTCCAAAACACAAGACACAACTCCAACAGCTCAACTCAGAGTCAGCCAATATCTTCTTTAAAAAGCGCAAAAAGGAGAAAAACATCTGTGGACCAGGGGGTTCAAACTCAAAGGATAAAATTGGACAACTTCTCACAGTTCCCTGTAATGTCAACAAGATTGAAAGGCTGACCACCACAGAGTGATGGAAGGCCTTCAGACTAGACCAGTTCAGATGGAAAATCAGAAATTGGTGGGGAAAACCCAGCAGGTCTGGCAGCATCTTTGGGGGAAAGCAGAGTTGACATTTTGGGTCTAGTGACCCTCCTTCAGAACAGATGGAAAGTTGGTTAGACTGCAGTCTTTGAATTTAAGTAATGGTTCAACTTTCAGGGTTTATGAGGTAGTCATGTTCCCAAAAATACATCACTGAGAGAAATCTGTGCAGATTGTCCTGCTGTAAGTTTTCTTCTTACTTTTTTGAGACAGAGAAAAATTTGCTCACTGCACACTTTGGAGGTCATTTCCTTCTACTCATGCATTCAAGTGTTCTAGAGAAACTGAAATCAACTCCCAAAGACTTCTAACCAACGTTCAGCACACAGACTCCCTGTCTTCCAACAAAATTTGTCCAACCATTGAAGCAATAAATTTCATCTCTCTCTCTCTTAAAAACTTTGCTTGTCTCCTTTCCAGAATTACTTGACTTTTCAACAATTAGCACATGAGCCAAAGCTCACATTACTGTTGAACGATTTCAAGAAATCACATGTCCCTTTAAACCATGGTAAATCCCTTTTTTAATGCAGAATGTCCAAAAAGTTCTACATTCCAGTTCCTCATCATGTATTCCCAGCAGCTGATAGTGAACATTCTTCTCCTGATAGAAGCATTAAGAGACAATCACATGGTTACATGAGTACTATACTGACAGATACAGATAGATATGTAAATCCCAGATCTCTGAATGTTACTTGTAAGATGGAAGTGGTTTTGGAAAAGTTAAGAGTTAAAGGGTTCAAAATGAAAGTTGATTTATGTGGGCAGAGAGAAAGGATTAATTGTGATCATTAAAGCTTTACATAGTGTACATGCCTGATATTTGGGTGTTCATCTGAAACCACATTTTGTGATGATGTTGTTGCCCCATGTGACCTTTTGATGAGAAGCTATGTGATGTATGTGTTCTCCTACTTGTCAGGAAAGGCCAATGAGCTGTTGATGTGTGAGCTGCAGAGCGTTGTAGCTCCTTTTTGGGTTCAAGTGAACCCTGGCTGATGGGAAAGAGGCAGCAACACTGTGGTGCAAGTACAACATAGGTAGCTTCAATGAATTAGTGGACATTGATGGGACATGAGGCATGTGATGCAGATGCCTAGAACCCAGTCTTGTGCATGGCCATCCTGTGACTGACATGCTTACAATGTTAAACTCCCACAGGGGTGGGTATGGTTGACAGGCAGAGATCCTGCGTTGCAAAGAGAAGTACTGTCCAGTTACCTTTCAAATATGATGACCTGAAATTGAAGCTCAGAATATTTTGGCAGGCTTCAGTACGTCCT